AAATAAATCTTTTAGCAGAGTTTCTGTGGTGGAAATACATTAGCTACTATAACTTCTTTGTCATTGTGGAGAGCGCAGTGTAATGAGTGCATGGTTGTATAGCAACGACAGCCATGGGAAAATCGGACCGAATTTTACTATTAATAATAAAAGATAAGCTACTGTGCATTATAAATGTCAGGAATGTATCTTTATTGACTCATTCTTTTTATAGAGATGATTGAATGCTGAAATATGAGGTTTATATTTTTTGTGTTAACCTTTTTTTAAGTTTAGTAGGTAAGATAAAAGACACTCCTTTAAAACAAATCTTTAATGTTATTAACTTGGTGAATTGATTTCATTGTGTATTAGACTTTTTGAACAAGATTCTGTGTATGTGATCATGTTGGTCACTATATTCATGAAATGAAAATAATTTACATAATGATCAACTTTATGTGTTTTTACAGTAGCCTAGCCTATAATATGCAAAGTACAATTTTCTAAATAATCTCTGATTCTGTCCTTTTCTCTGACATTTTAAGAGTGACATAGGGCTACAAAAGCTATTTTAAGTCTATTTGGATAGTTGTTAGTTGTCGAAGGGGGTCTCGCCCTGGGTGTAATTCAAAGTAGAACCGCCACTGTGCACATGCAATAATTCAGCCAGAACTGAATCATGTAAAAAGTTCACTATGCTTGGCGGATCCAAAATAGTATATAAAACTCTGGCACACTTAAGGCGGGCATACACTGTGCGATGTCTGTGCGATTTCAGCAAGGTACCTACTCACACTGAACGAGTAAATCGCATGCGATGCAAAGCCAAAGTTCAGGATTTATGTGCTCACACTGTACGGTCCGATCGTCGAGCTGCGACTTCACTGCTCACACTATACGTGTAATTGTCACGGTGCGGGTTCAGGCAGAAGAAGAGGCTGAGTCCAGAACTCGATTAAGAGACATTTAATTCAAAACAGGCAGGAAGACGGGATACACAGCGTAACATGAAACATTGACCGACAAAACAGAATCAAACAGAACTGAACTAAATACACAGAGGAATAAGGCTAATTGGAGTGCAAACAGGTGAAAATGATGAAGACAGGACGAGGAACAGGTGGCTGATTGGGGAGTGAGTCCGGGAGAGGAACAAAAGGATCCGGGGAAGTGTGGTGCAGATGACAAGACAGGACGGTGCAGACGAAGACTGTGACAGAACTCCCCCCTCCCGGGAGGCGTGACCTCACGCCGCATAACAGAGGAAGGAGGGGGGACGAACTGGGGGCTGGGCGGGGCGTGGCCAGGGCGGAGCAGGCTGAGGGCGTGGCCAGGGCGGAGCAGGCTGAGGGCGTGGCCAGGGCGGAGCAGGCTGAGGGCGTGGCCAGGGTGGAGCAGGCTGAGGGCGTCCCCAGGGCAAGGCAGGCTGAGGGCGAGACCAGGGCGGAGCAGGCTGAGGGCGAGACCAGGGCGGAGCCGATGGAGGGCGAGACCAGGGCGGAGCAGATGGAGGGTGAGACCAGGGCGGAGCAGCTGGAGGGAGGACCCCTGGTGGAGCCGATGGTAGTGGGGCTGACAACACCAGGGGGCCGACTGACAGGGGCGGAGCGGATGGGAGAGGAGACCAGGGTGCAGCTGAGGGACAGACGACAATGGGTGCTGCGGAGGGACCGAGGGAACATGGGGACACCGTAGGCTCTGGTGACTGAAGTGATGACAGGGGCACGGAGGGACACAGTGAGGTCAGAGGGCGTGAGGGCTGACGGGTGACTGGAGGGAGTGAGGAGTCCGACAGAACCGGGGGGGTGACATGACGGGGCGGAGCCAGAGGAATGAAGTCCAAAGGTGAAGGGAGGACGACGAGGGAGCGAAGGGAGTCCGGAGGGTCGAGGGAGCCTGGCCGAGCTGGTGGACTGAGGGGCCATGGAGGAGCTGAGGGAGGTAGGAGTCACGGGGGAGCCAATGGGACCGGGGGCCGAGGAAGTGTCCAGATGGAGGAGGTGTGAGGCGAAGGCCGGGGATCCAACGACCCAGCTGGGTCAGGGGAGCTGGCAGACGGAAGGGCTGACGGCTGCGTGACGGGAGGAGGTGGGAGAGGGAGGCTGGGTGGGATCCTGGTCTCGGGCTCTGGCTGGACGGTCTCTGGGGCTGGCTGGACGGTCTCTGGCGCAGGCTGGACGGTCTCTGGCGCTGGCTGGACGGTCTCTGGCGCTGGCTGGACGGTCTCTGGCGCTGGCTGGACGGTCTCTGGCGCTGGCTGGACGGTCTCTGGCGCTGGCTGGACGGTCTCAGGCGCTGGCTGGACGGTCTCAGGCGCTGGCTGGACGGTCTCTGGCGCTGGCTGGACGGTCTCAGGCGCTGGCTGGACGGTCTCTGGAGAGCTGGATGGAACCAGCAGTGAAGAGCATACAGTCTCTGGTGGGCTGGACGGAACCAGCAGTGAAGAGCATACAGTCTCTGGAGGGCTGGACGGAACCAGCAGTGAAGAGCATACAGTCTCTGGAGGGCTGGACGGAACCAGCAATGAAGAGCATACAGTCTCTGGAGGGCTGGACGGAACCAGCAGTGAAGAGCATACAGTCTCTGGAGAGCTGGACGGAACCAGCGGTGAAGAACATTCAGTCTCTGGAGAGCTGGACGGAACCAGCGGTGAAGAGCATTCAATCTCTGGAGAGCTGGACGGAACCAGCGGCGAAGAGCATTCAATCTCTGGAGAGCTGGACGGAACCAGCGGTGAAGAGCATTCAGTCTCTGGAGAGCTGGACGGAACCAGCGGTGAAGAGCATTCAGTCTCTGGAGAGCTGGACGGAACCAGCGGTGAAGAGCATTCGGTCTCTGGAGAGCTGGACGGAACCAGCGGTGAAGGGCATTCGGTCTCTGAAGAGCTGGACGGACCCAGCGGGGTGGATAGCTCGAGCTGTGGAGTGGTGCTGGTGACTTTCTCCACGGTGAATGGAGACCCACAGCACACCAGCACCCACTCCACACAGGCGGTGAAATCCTCGGGACCGTTCCCTGGGAGGCGTGCCCGGGACCGCTCGCTGAGGCTGGCGATGTAAAACTCACTCAGCGAACGGTGAGAGTAGTGAGTCAGGCACGCCAACTCCAGAAAGTCCCGTGTATGGGATTCCAGGGAACGGTCCTCCTGATCCAGGCACAGAAGAGCCACAGCAGGAATGTCCATTTTTCTTTTGGGTCGGTCAATCTGTCACGGTGCGGGTTCAGGCAGAAGAAGAGGCTGAGTCCAGAACTCGATTAAGAGACATTTAATTCAAAACAGGCAGGAAGACGGGATACACAGCGTAACATGAAACATTGACCGACAAAACAGAATCAAACAGAACTGAACTAAATACACAGAGGAATAAGGCTAATTGGAGTGCAAACAGGTGAAAATGATGAAGACAGGACGAGGAACAGGTGGCTGATTGGGGAGTGAGTCCGGGAGAGGAACAAAAGGATCCGGGGAAGTGTGGTGCAGATGACAAGACAGGACGGTGCAGACGAAGACTGTGACAGTAATATCTGCGATAACCCCCTGGATTGCGCCTATTTACGTGTATGTATCCAGAGATATTGTCAAAACAAGCATCTGCTAGTATCAAAATGATTTAGCATTTTCAATTTATACATTTAATTATTATTGGTATTATTGTATTATCATTATTAGGGGAGGCCTATAGGCTAATTTTATTATTAAATTGATCCGCTATTATAATTAATTTGCCACGCAATATTTTCACAGCACATAACCAACGTGCTGTGAGGATAATAAAATATTACATAATCTTACTCCTCATTAAAAATGGTCTAAAACATTTAGGTCGATTACAATGAATTATAAAATAACTATTAACAGTCTATAATATGTCCGAACATTGACATAATTAATCATCAATGAAAATTAAAAACAGGTTTATTTCAAAAACATTGTTTGACAAATGAATAAAAGAGGTGTTACATCGCAGGTGGCTTGGAAGACGGTGGGTAATATTATCCATTTTGCAACACGAACTGGAGGTAAGCAACAGTAATTTGTAGCTAGTTTGAACCACAGAACTTAAAGATCTCCCTCTTTTCGCTTTTATTTTATTTTTGCTGCAGATGAAATGGTTAAACTTCTGTTTTCGCGCAGGTGCAGTGAGGGAAAAAACACTGAGTTTAGGGCAATCGGTTCGTAGCTTTGCTTCAACTGTGCGATATAGTCACGAGGAGCGTCCAAAATTTCTGACATGCCAGAAATTCATCCGACCATCCGATTGTCGATCGTGAGAGGTTAATCGCCTCTCGTTTCTCCCTGTACACTGCACGAACATTGCACGACAAACGACGCACGACAAAGCTGAAAATCGGTCCGACAGGAAAAAGAGTCGCACGAGTCAGAATTCGGCTCAAAATCGGACGAAAATCGCAGTGTATGCCCGCCTTTACTATCCTCAATTAAAGTTTGGATGCCTGTCTCTAGTTCTGAAATCATCTCCATCAGCCTGACTGTCTCCTTGCATTTATTACATATAAATTCTATATTGCCGACAGAGAAGGCTATGCTAAACATGTGACATGAAGTGCATGTGACAATAACAGGACATTACTCACTGTGTTTGTTGACTGATTCTTACTCCCCTGGGCTTTTTATGAACTCAAAGGCATGGGCGCGCAAGAGAAAAATTAATAACTGAGAAAAATTAATAACTGAATGGGTGGTGTGTTAACTGGCTAGCGAGTTACTAGTGTGTTGTGCTAACAATAACGAAAGCTAGCGATGTCAGGTTAATCTGACATATTAGATAAGCTGTATTAAGTTGTATAAACAACTACAAATTATAGTAAATGATGGTTCACAACAGAAAGAAATGCGAAGCTATTACGAGGCTTAGATGAAGTTTACAGCCTCAAAGCAAATAAACTCACAGCAGGCAGCGAGGCAGTAAGAAGGAGCAATCGATCCGGGTCAAAGTCTGTGTGTGTACTGATTGTATCTGATGTGCAGAATGTAAGACTGTGTTTTTGTTTTATAGTGTGGATTATGGAGGAGAATTCAGGATTATAGAAGGACTACGCAAATGTATGTATACACACACAAGTTTAGTGATTGTTGTTGTGTTATAAATGTCTCTCTTCTTGTGTTCAGATACCTGGGATCTCACGTCGGATCCAAACACTCTCTCTCTCACACACACACACACACACACACAAACGTTTGTTTCACTGTATTAGTGAGGAGATTCCATAGATTCCATTGGTTTTTATATTAGGTTAATGATATTTTATATTGCCCAACCCAACCCAACCCCTACCCCTAAACCTGCCTAACGCAGAAACATGTGCAAAACACTAGATTTAAATTGTACATATGTTGGCCAATTTATGTCTTTTTAACTAGTGAGGATCAGTAGTAGATCTGTGTACATACATTTTCAATATACAAGTGAGGACATTTAGCCCTTACGAGTATAGCCAAAACTGTATACACACATACACACAACACTGATTATTGTTGTGTTATAAATGTCTCTCTTCTTGTGTTTAGATGCCTGTGATCTCACTCTGGATTCAAACACAGCAAACACTCATCTCATTCTGTCTGAAAAGAACAGAAAGGTGACATCTGTGGAAGAGTCCCAGTCATATCCTGATAATCTAGAGAGATTTGATGGGTGTCGTCAGGTTCTGTGTAAAGAGAGTCTGTCTGGACGCTGTTACTGGGAGGCTGAATGGACTTCGAAGCATGGAAATGCTGATATATCAGTGGCATATAAAGGAATCAGCAGGAAAGGAGGGAGTGAAAACTGTTGGTTTGGATTTAATGAAAACTCCTGGAGTCTGAATTGCTCTGATGACGGATTAACTATCTGCCACAATAGTAAGGAAACTAGCATAGATGTCCCTTCAGGCTCCTCAAAAAGAGTTGGAGTGTATGTGGACGTGTCAGGCGGCATTCTGTCTTTCTACAGCGTTTCTGGTAAACACAGACTCACACACTTACACACATTTACCTTGACATTCACTGAACCCCTCTATGCTGGATTTGGGGTTTCAGGCTCCTCAGTTTCTCTGTGTCAGATTGAAAAGCCTAGAGGCAACGAGACATCACCTAACTGATAAAAACAGTCTTCCTTTATAAACTGTTGTTCTGTCGTTTACCCAGCATGTTTTACATCTGCATGAGCTCTGACCAGGTTTTTGTCTATTTACTCTCAGTGACTAAAATTATGTGAAGCAGGTTTGGTGATTTGTTCTTTAGTTAACGGTACAAAATTGTGTATAATATTGTGTGTGTGTATGTTTATCATTATCAAGTTGTCTAGTCTCATATGAGTAGTGCAGCTTGATGGCAAGTTTCAGCTATTAATGAAAGAAATTGAGCTTTACTGCTCATTGAATGAACTGAATCAATTCAATCAATTGTTTTTTTTTTATTTACTGTTTTAAAGTTCCCAAATCTTGGGTCACTTTTTTTTGTGGGGCCACCACCATTTTAATCACATTAATTTTACCATATAATGTAAGATTTGTTCCAATTTATTTTATAACCTGACAACCTTGAATATAACTCAACACATGTAAGCAACACCGGTAGACATTGCATGGGATTAGTTAATAATGCTAAAATGTTGTCGGCATACAGAAACGGCTTGTGTTCCATACCCCCTGTGTGAACACCTCTGATATCTGTATTAACACGAATCGCTAGAGCTAGTGGCTCCAGAAATACTGTTAAGAGCTGTGGGGACAAAGAACACCATTGACGGGTCCCGTGTGAGAGATTAAAAAAGTCTGACACCAATCCATTTGTCAACACTGCTGCCCTCAAGTTGTAATATATAGTTTTTACCCAGTTACAAAATTCAGGCACGATCCCGAACATTGAAAGGGTTGCCATAAGAAAGCCCCATTCTACCCCATTCAAAGGCCATCAAGCGAGAAGACCGCCACCGGGTCTGGACTAGATTAACTTTTTTGTGTAAGATGAATAATTCTTCTCATGTTATCGCCAGAACTCCTATTCTTAATAAAACCAACTTGATCACCATTGATAACATCTGGCAGTATCTTATTCAAGTGGGATGCTAAAACCTTTGTCAAAATCTTAGAATCATCTCCTAAAAGGCTTACTGGTCAGTAATTCGCTTGTCTAATTTGTGTTCCGAAGATGAATGAAAGTCTCATGGGGTTGGAACAACATGAGGGAGAGTAATTACTGACAGAATTTTAATTTTTTGCAAATTGATGTCCCTCGTGGAGAGCCACGCATTCTGCCTGGGTTGGTAGAATAGTTTTCATTCTGGCTGTGTCATGGTCACTCTGTTTTTTACTTCATACATGAAAGGCCACCCCTCGGAAGTAAACTCTCGCAAACACCCACATCTCCGTTTGTGAATTGGACTGTTGCAGAAACTTTCCTGCGAGTTCTAAAAGTGCAAGTCAAGTCAATCACCTTTATTTGTATAGCGCTTTTTTACTTTACACAGCAGCTTTACAGTGATAACAGAAAAAAAGAAGTTTGTTTCAGCTGTACAGCAGATCTAGAAGAAAAAAGTGTCATAGTCCAGCTTAAGTAAGTTCAGTGATGGTTCATTTTTGTTGTAAAAAAAGTTATTAATTTAGTTTATCTATACCACTCTGAAGAAAACAGTGATGTCATCGTCCAGCTCAGTTCAGTTCTAATATAATGGTGTCAATGCAGGCAGATCAGTAATATTGTTAAATATTAAGTAGGCCTATGTGAGAATACAGAGATGCACTTGTATAGCCTATAGTTATTACAAGTGAAATTAGTCAGAAGTGCCATTATTAACAGTCTTTGTGGATTGTGTGTGTGCAACTGATTGCAAGTATATTCAAATCATTATTGATTGCTATATTGCTAAGACACATTAAAGAGCACTACTGCAACATTCCATCTGAATGTTTACATTAATAAATTTGGTTTTCACATTATGCTGTCACATATTTTCTTAATGCCATATGATGCTGGGCTTATATTATATCTTGACATATATTACATCTATTTCCTTCACATGCCATTTAATATGCTGATTATAATCTAACACTTGAATCCTGCTTTATAGATCTGTAATATATTTGTTTATATTTCGTATAATGTTTGTGTTTACAGGACCACCCACATAGACAAATGATGCACAACAAATCACATTGAAGTACAATGTCACCATTTGAGTTTGTTTGTCACGTGTTCAGTGTTTGACTATCAGTCTATTAATTAATTTAGTTCTCTCCCTGTTTGTCATTATGGTTTCTAATTGATTGTTAGTTCTGTGTAGTTCTACAGGGGGCCTCGGGTGGCACTAATAGTTCAGGGGGGCAGGGCGGAGCCGGTACATCCGACTGTTCAGGGGGGCAGGGCGGAGCCGGCCGTTCATCAGAGCCAGCAACTAGGGAGACCAGGGTGGCGCAGGCAGTCCAGGGGGGAACCAGGGCGGCGCTAGATCTGGAGGACTTATTCTGAAGTTGGTTAGACTTGGAGTTGAGAGCATTCATACCTGTGGGAGATTCTAGCATGACATTTGAACATCTTGATTTGGTGCTAATGTGCTTTGGCTCGCTTTACACGATTGGTGAGGTAGATGAAGAAACCAACTACCACATGTCACATCATCATCAGCCCATTACAGCCCTCCTGCTACCCACCACCCTCACTCCAGAGCTTGTCCAGATCCAAGCAGGACGAGGCAGAGGGCTGTGAGAGAATGGTGCGTGATTACTAATGAGAGTCACCTGTGTGCCGCACCGGCCTCGAATCTCATGGAGGTGTTATGGAAGCATAAAAGGAGGAGCAATGACAAATGATGGACGAAAGAGGACTAGGCCTGGACTATTTACATATGTGATTGTGGTGAAATGCAGTAATTGATTTAGGTTTGCGGCTGTCTTTCCAACCAGTGAACCGCTATTGATGACGTATAATATAATATGTGAGTGTGTGCGTCAATACACTGTTGTGTATGCACTGTTGAAACCCTTTTTCTTCTTAAGTGTAGGAACTCAGAAGCGAAGACCAGGAGACTCGGTTTGTATCTTTTTAAGCAGGATTCTTTTATTGCTGTTGCATCACTGTAGTCTGCTTAGTCCAAAAATCTTAGCTAAGTCTAACTAAAGCAGTATACATTGTGTTTTATATACATTTCAAGGGCGAGGGATGATATAGAGGTAGAGATCCTCTGAAACAAAGCAAATGTAAATGCATGATACCTGAGAACAGGATGGTGCAGGAAATCTCGCACTGAGACAAGAACTCCAAGACAAACGTTCTTAGTAATTAAAATAGCAGCTGTTCAAACTTGCTCAGCAGTTTTCACCCGGTGAGACAAGAGAACAGGAAAGGCCTGGCCTTCTCGTACTGAGACAGGACAGTCAGAAAGATCCCGCTGGAAACCCCTACCATTTGCAGAGATTTCCTGGTCTCATCATTTATAAACTTTCTCCATATAAAATACTATTTTATTGGAAATCTAAATTAAACAATTTAATAAAATGTGTAATCCTACAACACTTAGCTTGACGGAAAAGCCAGATTGACAGACTACAAGCAGATGATTTCTGCTTGCCTCTGCAACTTTCATCCAGAGTTCTGGATGTTGAACTTGATTGACTTAAACACTGAAGCCTGAGCTTCACGTCACGCCTCCTGAGCCTTCTCTGTTGGTCCCCTCCAGTCCAGAGCCTTCTCCGATGGTCCCACCCAGCTCCGAGCCTGTCCCAGAGTGGGGACAGGTGCATCACCCCCCCCCCAAAAAAAAAATAAAAATTCCTTACAGAGAGTGACAGGCTCAGGAATGCACTCTGGGACAGGCTTGGAGTTGGGCGGGACCAGCGGAGAAGGCTCAGGACTGGAGGGGACCAACAGAGAAGGCTCGGGAGGCGTGACGTGAAGCTCTGGCTCGGCAGGCGGAAGACAGGGTACTTCAGCGTTGAAGTCAATCAAGTTGAATTCCTCTGGACTCTGGATGAGGACCGGAACAGAGGACTCCTGAGGGCCTATCTTGGCAGGACAAGACAGCGGACACAGTAGGGAGATGTCAATGCCACATAATTTGTCTGGAATCCTATGAATAAAGGAAACTGTCTTCTGTGTAGATATTTTCAGTTCACAAGGTAATGTTCATCTGAGGACACTATTACAAACAATGACGACTGTTTAAAAACTTAGCTTTTCTCATAGAGATTACACCACTTACATCACTGCATAGATGTGACAATTAGGATGCAGTTTTACTGCAGTCATTGTGTTTCCTTGTTATCTGTAACTTAAATTCTTTGAGTGTCAGTCTAAGACTGACATCTAGTGGAGGTTTTATGATCTGTGTCTACAGACTTGCAGACATTTGCACACGGCACTCAAACACAGAAGCAGGAAACAGGAATCACATGACTTCAAGGAAACTGAAACTGAACTGTAGTTGAGCTGCTGTGTAATTTTATCCCTGTGTTCATGCAGTAAAATGGCAGAAGCCAGGTTTTTTCAAGATGAATTCCTATGTCCATTGTGTCTGGATCTCCTGAAGGATCCAGTGACCATTCCCTGTGGACACAGTTACTGTAAGATCTGTATTACAGACTGCTGGGATCAGGAGGATGAGAAGAGAGTCTACAGCTGCCCTCAGTGCAGACAGACCTTCAGTTCAAGACCTGCTTTAGCTAAAAACACCATTCTGGCTGAAGTGGTGGAGAAACTGAAGAAGCGTAAACGTCCTGCTGACCGTTACGCTGGAGCTGGAGATGTGCAGTGTGACGTCTGTGATGGAAGAAAACACAAAGCCGTCAAGTCCTGTCTGGGGTGTCTGGAGTCTTACTGTCAGAATCACCTTGAACAACATGAGAGTTTCTTTAAAAGAAAGAGACACAATCTGACTGAAGCCACTGGACGGCTGCAGGAGATGATCTGCCAAACACATGATAAACTCCTCGAGGTTTTCTGCCGCACTGATCAGAAGTGTATATGTGTGCTGTGTGTGATGGATGAACATAAAAACCACGACACTGTATCAGCTGCAGCGCAGAGGACAGAGAAACAGGTATGAACTTTTAACTAGTTATTGATGAATTAATGTTGACACTATTTATATTGGCACCCATATTGTCAGGTAACATCATTCACACTGCAGACCTCAGCAGAAGTGAACAGAAGCTAGAGGTGGAGTTTTATTGCTGAGTGTATTTGTGTTCCGCACTGAAAAATGCACCGTAAACATGTTAATCAACACAACCCTTTTCATTAAAAAACGATAATATCACATGATGATATTGTGTCAGCAGTATAATGTGACATCTCTGTTATTGATTTGTGGTGCAGAAGCAGCTGAAGGAGACGCAGAGGTCGTTCCAGCAGAGGATCCAGCAGGGAGAGAAAGATCTTCAGCAGCTGAGAGAGGCTGTGGCGTCTCATAAGGTGAGTCTGGAGAACAAGAGAAGTTTGAGACGTCTCAGTCAGGACTCACTGAAGCTCCCTGTGTGATTGTGATGTGTGTGACAGCGCTCTGCACAGACAGCAGTGGAGGACAGCGAGAGGATCTTCACTGAGTTCATCCGCTCCATTGAGAGAAGCCGCTCTGAGGCGACACAGCGGATCAGAGATCAGGAAAAGACTGCAGTGAGTCGAGCTGAAGGACGACTGAAGCGACTGGAGCAGGAGATCAATGATCTGAGGAGGAGAGACGCTGAGCTGGAGCAGCTTTCACACACACAGGATCACATCCAGTTCCTGCAGGTAACAGAGATCTAGAAGAACAGGGTCATAGTGGAGACTCAGAGAAACATTTCATGAAAGCAGAATGAGCCGATGACTGAAGTGTTGATCTGTGTGTTCGGTTATTATACAATCATCAGTCACACTCTCTTCTGATCATCTTCTTTTGAAAAGGACGCACTTACAAATGCAGTTCAATTCTGGAAATCTCTTAGAAAAACATATTCTTAGCTCTTTCTTCTGGAAGTTTTATTGGTAAAAAAATATTTCAGCAATGAACTTTTAATAACTTCTGCAGTTTCAGGCCACATTTACACATAGCCGGGTA